AGGAGGGAGAACAATAAAAGGACAAGAATTAAGAAAACACAAGATAACGATTGACATTGCATTTAATCTTTAGAAAATCAATCTTTACTGGGAAGCAAGAAGCTGGAAGAGAGTTTCACAGGCGAGAAGTGCAACAGAAGTGCAACAGAAGAAACTGTTAGCATAGAACTTACGGTTACGTCTATCCATTTTAACTGTCAAATGATGAGACCTTGCCGCCAGTATAGTATTACGCTTAAATTTATAAAGTCGTCACACCATGTATGTTTTTAGGTCTGTCCACGTGTTTTCCCTGTCGACAATATGTGTTTCAAATAGAATATATAATCCCCACCCCCAAAAAATCATATTTTGTCGTTTTCTCTTGATAAAAACACAATGAATTTGACGATAATGTTTTTATAAAATTTTATGCACCTTTTCATCATGTATGCTCATTTTTAGCGAACATTTGGCAGCACACACACACGCACAAATGTATATATATATATATATATATATATATATATATATTTCTGAGATGAGGTATTATGTACATTATTTACATTGTTCAGACTATTGTCCTCATCTTTGTCGCCATATTTATAAATGATAAATAAGGCGACAAAGATGAGACAATAGTCCGAATAATGTAAATATATGTATATATATATATATATATATATATATATATATATATATATATATATATATATATATATATATATATATATATAGGTGGCTTGCAGTTCGAAGAGTATCGGTAATTAATTTACTATTGTTTACCATAGACTTTCATTGTTATTAACCAGAATTAACCAGAGCCAGCTTAATAATAAATTTATGCACTGTTAATTAATTAGGCGATGTTGTGAAAACGTATTCAAACACAACATCGCCCACGTGACGACAACGTGATCATATTTAAACGGAACGCTGATCTTATATAAAAATTTCAGTTATCTGTTTGGATTAGTTGTGCTCTTATGTCCATCGTCTTTTCATGTTGAATTTTATATGTTCTAATGTTAATTATGTTTAAGGAATATGTCCTGATGATGGTCTAAAATAGACCGAAACGTCCAACGTTGACTTTATATTAATATTTATACAGCATAATTGCATATTAAGATTTTTTGTTTGTTTTTTCTGTATATTTTTTCTTCATATATATATATATATATATATATATATATATATATATATATATATATATATATATGCGTGTGTGTGTGTGTGTGTGTGAGGAAACTGACATAAAAAACCTAGATAGATCCTCACCAAGCAGCCTCTCTCTTTCTCTCTCTCTATATATATATGCTAGAATATTATATATATTTATATACAGATGTCGAAAATATATAATTCCATAGAATAACAGAATACTGCATAAGTATATATATATATAACATATATGTTTTTGAATATATCCTATGAAAATATAAGTAAATACATATATGACAACATATCAGATATACACTGAAATATATATACATACACACATATATATATGTACATATATATATATATATATATATATATATATATGTGTGTGTGTATAAAGATCAAATATAAAATAGGGAAAATATTAAACACTGAATCAGGAGCTCACAACAGGAAGAACGATCATCATTTTCAACACAATTCATCATTTCAGATAAAGAGATCAATTAGAAAAGATCCAAGCTCAATCCATAAAATGTTTGGCCCGTGAGAGAAGAGTTTCAGCTATGACAGTCCAAAGAACAGTGAAAAAAGACTTGAAAATGAAAATTGTGCGTGAAAACTGTGAGACAACTTGTTACTCCAGGACAGAATTCTAGAAGGTTGAAGGAGGCTGAGATCATCTTGAATAAGTTGGAAAATGTTTCTGAAATAATATATATATATATATATATATTTATGTGTGTGTGTGTGTGAAAAGTGTATATAAATATAAATAAATATATATATATGTATAATTATTTATATATTATATGCGCGGTACTTATTAGAAAGCGCTCAATATCAGAGATAGAGCTAACATATTTGGTTGGATAGATGTGAGTTTGTTACCCTGGTTTCGCTTAGCGATCGTCAGACAAAGACAAAGCTATATATACATATTAAAAGCTATATAGCTATAGTATATATATATATATATATATATATATATATATATATATATATATATATATATATATATATATATATGAAAGAAAAACAGACCATTTTAAGGTACATTTATAATAATTTATTTCACCTGAGCCCTTTTAAAAAGACGCCGGATCATCAGAAAGCACTTCCAAAAGATGAAACGAAAATGAAATGAAAATTGATGGGTAGTGTAAGTTTTGTAATTCAACAGACAGTATAATAAGGAGTAGTTAAAGAGACATGGTAGAGTTTAATTACTTTGTCTTAATTGTTATTGTAAGTAGCTATATAGTGACTTTATTGCCACCTGTATATATATATATATATATATATATATATATATATATATATATATATATATATATATATATATTCCTCCTTGCAATAATATATTATCCACCTTGAAATTATCCCTACATAAATAAATTGATATATATGTGTTTTTCCTGTCGACGATATGTGTTTCAAATAGGATATATAATTCCGATAAAGTTTTGAAGAGATTTGAGAAATGGAAAAACGTTTCTCGTGATGAAAGAATAACTTAGTGAAAAAGTGCTACTAATAATAAAAGTACTAATTATCCATTATTTAACACACACACACAGACACAGACACACACATATTTCTTTCTTTCGTTTTTGGATCTGATGAAGCCTAGAAAGGCGAAACGAGTTTCAATGAAAGGATTTTTCATTTGTCAAATTTCTTCCAAACTTTGTCGGCGTTCCATGTCCTATTTTAAAGACAAACACACATATAAAAATAATTCATCGAGTCAAGAAGAATCGTCAACATAAAAGCACTGGGCTGTCGTCTCGTCTTATTTTGGGAGTCATCAGCAATACGCATCCACTAACGAGAATCGATCTCAGACCGTTACAACACTACGCGAATGTCATACCAACTGGACCAATGGGAATAGGACACGGATAGGTAACTAACTACACTCGATATAGCACCGTACTTACTAAATTTTGTGGTGTAACTCATTGAAGTATACTTAACCTAACGGATTGTGCCCCCACGAGCCACGTCTTCTTTCCCCAAGCCGTTTCCTCCAGAGCATTACAAGCCGGTTCAAGCAAGGATATAAAAATGATAGAAATTTTAGGAGGATTTTGAATAATCAAATTAAAGTAATTCATCAAGTCTAGAAGAATCCTCGACAGAATGCAGAAAGTACTGGGCGGCCATTTCGTTCTATTTGGGACTCATCAGCAGTGCGAATCTACTAACGAGAATCGAACCCGAACCCGAACGAGACGAACCTGAACGCCGATAAGTCCCAAAATAGGACGAAACGGTCGCCCAGTGCTTTCTGCATTCTGTTGAAGATTCAAATTACAAAAACCACTAAAATTTCTAAATATATATCTATATATATATATATATATATATATATATATATATATATATATATATATAAACGATGCAATCAATTTACAAATTCATGAATTATTCGCACAAAACAAATGCAAGGTTAATGATTTAATTGGCGAGAAATCCATCATCGCAAACAAATCCAAATAATATACAAAAAACTCGGAATCCGTTATGAATGAAAAGATCCTTGTTTCTATAAACTTCTGCCGCATTAGTTCTTATTTTTACTACAAGCTTTCGTCTGTTCCTACAGACATCTTCAGGTATGGGGATTCGAGGTTTTTGTATATTATTTGAATTGTTTGTGATGATGGATTTCACCAAAATCATTAACCTTTGCATTTGTTTTTTGTGTGAATAATTCATGAATATATATATATATATATATATATATATATATATATATATATATATATATATATGTATGTATGTATGTATATAAATAAGAAGAAAGAACAGTAAGATATAATCCGGTGTTCTTATAGATATTTTTAGTTTTACAAACTAGTGCTCAATGTAAATTTACAGAGCATTAATATATATATATATATATATATATATATATATATATATATATATATATATGAAGGATATATATTTTATATATCAAGATATATATTTTATATATCAAGAATAGTATCGAGGAAAATCGTATGACAAAGTGAAAAGTTTACTCGTAACGCGTTTAGTCTTCAAGACTTCATCGATCGTATGGTGTCCTAAAGGTCGAAACGTGTCACAAGTAAACTTTTTACCCTTTGTCATATATATATATATATATATATATATATATATATATATATGTATTTTTAAACTTTTTCATATATATGACATATATATGAAAGTATATATATATATATATATATATATATATATATACATATTTTATATATATGAGAAAGTGTAAAAGTATATATATATATATATATATATATATATATATATATATATATATATATATATATATATATATATATATATATATATATATATATGCAAATCCTTGTCAGTTGATGCTTTTGAAAGATACACAAAAGAAAATCTTTACGATCTTATTCATTCCAAGATCCTAACCTGTACTTTCTTCTTTCTCGGACTAAAAAATTCATCCCTTCATTTGCAAATGCATGTACTGGGAAATGCTATTATAAAAAGCATATAATATCTTCCAAAAAAAGAGATCACGCTTTTTAGAGGTGTCCACTTCATAGTTCAGTAAAACAATAGCAAAATTCTCTCCACGAGTGAACAAAGTTCGTTTATTATTTCCCCCCACTTCTGCTGAAATCACAACTAAGTTTCCCTATTTCGCTTTGCCTGCCAAAAGGTTACTGTCACACCGATGTCTTGGCAGTCCCTCTTATTTCGATCTTTTTTGTCAAATATATTCACCTGGCTTTTATTCATACTTTATAGCACGACATGAAACGCTTTTGGCTTCGTTTTCTCCTTTCATCTCGTTCTGCTCCTTGTTTCGACCGGCTTTTTACTTGTGCAAAATGTCCCTCGCTTCTTGCACTCATCAACTTTTTCTAACGTCATTCGCGGCTGAATTCATCCGTTCCCTCCTCCCGTGCCATCATCCAATTTTTCCGTTGAAAGATTGCGAGACGAGTTAAAGTGCAAACGCCATTTGAGGTCCTCTTTGACACTTTCAAGAAGGACAATCTTCGGAGATCGAACAGAAAATTCTCATCACTAACCACACTCCTACACAGCCCGACGTCCGACATTACTGCGTAGATTCTTTCTTTCGTTATATATATATATATATATATATATATATATATATATATATTTGAATTAGGTGTATTTTTTCATGATTTTGTACAATTCTTCAGGAAGTTAAAAAGATAACTATTTTTTTAAACTGAGATAAAAAGCAGTCATTTCATTCTTTTTTTTTTCTGTTTTGTGTGATCTTTTTCTCTCTTCCTTCCTTCCTTCCTTCCTCTCTTCCTTCCCCCCCCCTCCCTTCCTTCCTTTCTCTTTCTTCTTCCCTCTTCCTCCCTTCCTTCCTTCCTCCGTCCTTTCCTTCTTTCTTTTCTTTTCTTTTCTTCCGTTCGTTCGTTCGTTCGTTCATTCGTTCATCCTTTCTTTCTTTCTTTCTTTCTTTCTTTCTTTCTTTTCTTTCTTTCTTTCTTTCCTCCGTTCGTTCGTTCTTCCCTTTGTTTCTTCCTTCCTTCCTTCCTTCCTTCCTTGTACGCTACTACTTGTTCGTTTGTCTGTTTGATTCTTACATCGTATTCTTTTCTTTTCTTTCTTTCTTCTTTTTTTCTTTCTTTCTTTCTTTTTTTCTTTCTTTCTTTTCTTCTTCAAATTTTTGTTTGTCTCTTTCCACTACTTTATCTTTTCTTTTCTTTATCATGAAATTCTTTCATTCTAGTAAATTTCGTCTTTCTTTCATTGTCATAAATTCTTTTATTCTTTGTTACTTTCTTTCTTTCTCCGAAAAAATTTCTTTTTTTCTTTTTTCTTTGACAAATTTTTGTTTGTTTTTGTTTGTTTTTTTCTTGCCTCCTTTTCTACAATTTTCGTTCATTCGTTCGTTCTTCGTTCGTTTATCAGTTATGCGTTTCTTTTTTGTTTATCCATTCCCACCCGCTTTCTTTCTTTTCATTGGGACGCCCGCATTTCCATTAATTTTTTCTGTTTATTTGATCTCGCTTTCCTTCAAAACCCTCCTTTTTTTCTTTCTTTCTTTTCTTTTTTCTTTCTTTCTTCTTTCTTTCTTTCTTTCTTTTCTTTCTTTCAATACCCTCTCTTCCTTTCTTTTCTTTTCATTGTATACTTTGTTCATTTTCTTTCTTTCTTTCATTCTTTTGAATACTAGTCTCTCTCTCTCTCTCTCTCTCTCTCCTCCTTTCATTTTTTGTTTGTTTATTTCTTTTTGGTACTTCCTCTCTCACTTTCTTTCAATTTTTTCTTAGTATATTTTCCACTTTTTTTTTTGTTTGCTTTTCTTTCGTTGAATACTACCCACTTTCTTTCTTTTTTTCTTTCTTTCTGAGTAATTTTCTTTCTTTCTTTCATATATATTTTTCCTCACTCACTTACTCTGAATACTTCTTTTTCTTTTCTTTGAATACTTCCTTCTCTTTTTCCTTTTTTGAATTTCTTTTTTCTTTCTTCTTTGAATATTTACTCCCTCTCTTTTTCCTTCTTTTCTTTCTTTCTTTCTTTCTTTTCTTTCTTTCTTTCTTTCTTTCTTTTCTTTCAATACTTCCTTCTTTTTTTCCTTTTAGAATTTTTCTTTTGAATACTTTATTCTCTCTCTTTTTTCCTTTTGTGATTTTCTTTTCTTTCTTTCTTTTCTTTCTTTGAATACTTCCCCTTCTTTTTTTTCCTTTTTGAATTTTCTTTCTTTTTGAATACTTCATTTTCTCTTTTTTCCTTTTTGAATTCTTTTCTTTCTTCTTTCTTTCTTTTTTCTTTTCTTTCTTTTCTTTCCTTCTTTCTTTTTTTCTTTCTTTGAATACTTCATTCTCTTTTTTTCCTTCTGTGAATTCTTTCTTTCTTTCTTTCTTTCTTTCTTTGAATACTTCCTTCTCTCTTTTTTCCTTTTAATGATTCTTTTCTTTCTTTGAATACTTCATTCTCTCTTTTTTCCTTTTGTGAATTCTTTCTTTTCTTTCTTTTTTCTTTCTTTTCTTTCTTTCTTTCTTTCTTTCTTTCTTTTTCTTTTTTTGAATACTTCCTTCTCTCTTTTTTTCTTTTGTGAATTCTTTTCTTTCTTTCTTTTCTTTCTTTCTTTCTTTTCTTCTTTTCTTTCTTTTTGAATGCTTCCCTTTCTCTCTTTTTTCCTTTTGTGAATTCTTTCTTTCTTTCTTTGAATATTTCCTCTCTCTTTTTTCCTTCTGTGAATTCTTTTTTTCTTTCTTTATTTCTTTCTTTCTTTCTTTCTTTTTTTGAATACTTCCTTCTTCTTTTTTTTTTTTTTGTGAATTCTTTTTTTTTCTTTCTTTCTTTGAATAATTCCTTCTCTTTTTTTTCCTTTTGTGAATTCTTTCTTTCTTTCTTTCTTTGAATATTCACCCTTTTTTCCTTTGTGAATTCTTTCTTTCTTTCTTTTATTGCACACTATATGTCACCCATTACAATATCATTATGACTTCACCCCATAACGACTTTCTTCGAAACACCCATCCATCTATAGTTTCTAAAATGTCACTCGCCTACCGCCGACCTATTATCCCCACCTATTCTATCAAAATGGCCTTTAATATGCTGGACATTGGTGACGTCCATTAACGACGCAGCGTGAAAAAAGCACTGTTCTTGAACTATGCAAGAAATTTGGTAAAATCAATTGGCTGTGGGCAGTGCTCGTGGTTGTCTGCTTGACAGAGTCTATTTCGATAGGAGAATCCAGCAGGTTCTTGAATGTTCAAGGCAGAAATTTGTCGTTTGGCCACGTGGCAAAGTTCTGGACACTGGCCATCTTCTCAGTAAAAAAAAAGATGTGTAAATCGGTACAAAGTTTTACTCGGAAAGTGATAGGCGTTGTGGGGGAGGAACAGGAAAGAAATGTAGACTTGGAGATGAAAGGGGCAAATGGGAAAAGCTCTTGGGGAAAGTTCCACAGATTTGGCCGCCGAGAATGGCTGTTTTATCAAATGTTATTGTAATGAACTCCCTCTCTTATGAAATGCGTCCACACACACACAATTCATAAAAATATTGGGTATAATGAATTTATTTTCTAAGAAAGAATTATGAATCTATAATTTTCTTCTTTCTTCTTCTTCTTCTTCTTCTTCTTTCTTCTTTTCTTTCTTCTTCTTGTGCCATGACCATTAGGACGGAGTGATAATGGGTCTCCACAACTCTCAAAAGCAGGATGTTTTGCACGTAAAGTAACCTCTTCAAATTCTACGCTTGATTAATCTGAGTACTTTTGTTCGACTTTGCTTAGAACTGAATTATATTGACTGATGTTTATAACACCGTCCAAGTATTTCAGCTATCATCTTTAAACTGGACCCCTGAAAAGCATGTCGTCAATGGTATCCCTGCAATAGTCCTTAAGAAAAGTTCTCCTGAACTGGCTCCTGTTCTCTAAACCAACAATAAATGCCTTTGCTGTTCGTTTTCCTACCTGTGAGAAATACTCTTCTGTAATTACAGTCCATAATAAACAGACGAACATTCTCCTGATATATCTAATTATCGGTTTATTAGCCTTTTTACCGAATTTGTGGCAAGTACTAAATGCCTACTCAACACTGAATTGGTTAAGCATCTCACCCGTTGGTTTCTCACATATGCAATATGGTTTTCTCTTTTTTTTTTTTTCTGACTTTGTCTTAGAACTGAATTTCTCATTGACTGATAAGCTTATAATGACTGTTCGTGGCTTCAGCTATCATCTTTAAACTTCTGTAATTCCAGTCCATAAGAACACAGACGAACATTCTGATACATTTAATCATCGGCTTATTAGCCTTTTACCGAATTTCAGGTAAAATTACTAAATGCTCACTCAACACTGAATTGGTTAAGCTTCACCCTCGTAGGTTTCAATAAGCAATATGGCTGCTTCTAGATCAGCTGCTGATGCTAATGATTATTGCTGGAATAACCCATCGCTTTAGAGGAGCATGGTGAAGCTCAGCCTGTTACAATCGGTACATCTGAGGCAGGGCTTGGCATATCTTCACAAGTTTAAAGGTTAGGATATTTCTGGATAAATCGTGAATTTTTTTACAAATAAAAACATTATTGAAACAAACAAGAAGTCGGTTCCAAATGAGTTCCCAAATATAGGACTTAAATGGCCGTCCAGTGCTTTTACCCTTGCTGAGGTTTCTATCAGACTCATGAATTAATTAATATATATATATATATATATATATATATATATATATATATATATAGGAAAGAGCGCGAAAAGGTGATTTAAATAGATTTTGTCAGACAGATAAGAGGAGGCTAAGCTTCATCTTGATATACGTTATTTTACTTATGTTCACCTAATACAAGGCATAAGAACAACCAAGCTAAAGGGTTATTGAATAAGGTGTAGAATGTCTGTAAAAGGATACTAGGAAGTGAATATCACGGAGGATAGGAGGATAGACATGATTATCTTGACTTGAGGATTATGCGTGTACTGTTTGGGAAGCCTTCATCGGGGAATCTGTTCCAAAATGACCGTTCTTGGGAAGAAGCTGACTGAGTAGATCTTTCAGCAAGTGAATACGGGGGAAATGTGGATGATTCGATTCGCATACCAGAAACATTGATTAAGAAACTTAACTTACTTTTCGCTCATACCCCTGTCAGGGCTTGTTTTCTGTTTACATCCATATCTCTGTACGATCACAACGTCGAGTCCAGACAGTATCTAGATCGGTGACTTCTTGTGAGATTAATTACTGCAAGCGTGGATGTGATGACGGTAATAGATAACGGCTCTGAATTGGAAGTCGATGAGTCGATAATTCAGGTTGGGTCTGTTATATTCATTTAAGCGTAAATATCCTTGAGAAAGATATAAAACACTTCTTCTTTCTTGAGAAAGGTATGAAACACCTCTTCAAGCTATGCGGTTAAATAACAGGACGTATCATATCTGAAAAAATTCTAATCTAAAACAGTGGATAATCTAGGCACGGTGGAGTAATGTGTATCGGTTAGATTGGAGGAATCGAAGAGCCGAGTTCGAATTCCAGTCGAATCCATTACATTCACTTACGTGATAATACCCTGGGAAAGGTAAGAATCCTCTTTTCTCCATCCAGCTATGGGTAACAGAGGTCAGACTGAATTTATAGCCTTGGATGGCAACTGATCTACCGCAGAATGAAACGACGTTACTGGCTGGAAAAAAAAATTCGTCAGTCATGTATCGAAAAGACACGATTAGGCGATTATAAATCGCCCTCAAACTTAATAAAACAAAAGATTTATGGTCAAAATCTTTATGTTATTATTAAGGGGAAAAAGACAAAGGATTTTTGATTATTATGGTACATAACTGACTGAATCTGAAAATATTTTTTCGCTTTAAATAACAGTTTGATAAGGAGGAAAAAATATATCAAATCAAATCAATCAATCGCTGGCTAATATTCCGACTGTTTATTCATCCACCTTTTTGCCAACACTAGAAAGTGGCAAATCTCTCAGTGTCTTTTGCCAACGGTAGGTCGGTCAATACGTCTGTCTTTTCAGTCCTCTCCATTGACACTAATTTCAAAAAGACGACATAATTTTAGCATTAACACTGTAACGACACGACGCCAATGTTCCGTCCGGTTTTTGCCTCTAAAGGCTTTTAAAATGTCATTAGAAACTTGTCCAGCGAAGCGGAAATTGATATTTACTACATATTGTGTGCGTTTTCTCGTATTTAAAAGAATATTTACGTATTATGAGCGCGAGCTGACCATGTCATATACCTATGCAGGAATATATATATATATATATATATATATATATATATATATATATATATTCGCCAAAATGGTAAAAAATGTCCCAAAACTTAATAAAACAAACATTTATGGTATATATTTAATCCTTTTAGACCCCTTCCTAATTTAATTTTAGCCTTGTTTTGATTTGAAATTTCGCAAAATCAAATTATTGTCGGGTTTTAATAAAACATTCAGGACTTATTTACAAATGGCTGAAACGCTTTTTTTTAAAAAAAACATGGTAATTTTTTTTTTTTTTTTACATCTGTTACCCTCCACGCAGTTTTAATTTATCAAATTTCAAGAAAGTCATTGTTATAGCGCTTAATGTTTGCATTAGTTATAAGCACAAGTCATTGGAGAATTTAAATGATCATTTTTTTTTATTGGTAAACAGACTCTAGTTACAGAAAAATCATCTCCGAGTTGTAAAAATAAAAATGCAATAAAACTAAGATATTATTTAATTAATAAAGCTTTTTATTTTCTTTTTACGAATAAGATATATTATGACAAATTTTCTTTTTTAAATATATATATATATATATATATATTTTTATTTTTATATTTTAAAATATTATATATATATATATATATATATATATATATATATTTTACTAAAAATATAAATTATATATATAAATATATATATTAACTTTTCCTACCCCGCCTGGTGGGAAAAGCTGCTGGGGGGCGCCAGGGTTTTGGGGGTCCTGCCATGTCCCCCGAAACCTTAATCCCCCCTGGTCGGCCCGGGTGATGAAAAGGGTATCCTGCCCAAAACACGTTTATGTTAAAAAATATCAAAAATAAAATATATAAATATAAAAATTTTTTATTTTAATTTATTTTTTATATATATATATATATATATATATATATATATATATATATATATATATA